TCAATGAAGGCCGAATGTTTCGCATATGAAAACAACTATTCTTACGATTACCAATTGTTCGGTCACCAATGTTTCCCATATGGAAACAACTATTCTTACGTTCCAAATGTTCGGTCAATGAAGGCCGAATGTTTCCCATATGGAAACAAATATTCTTACGATTACCAATTGTTCGGTCAATGAAGGCCGAATGTTTCCCATATGAAAACAACTATTCTTACCATTACCAATTGTTCTTACCGTCCAATTGAAGGCCGAATGTTTCCCATATGGAAACAACTATTCTTACCATTACCAATTGTTCGGTCAATAAAGGCCGAATGTTTCCCCATATGAAAACAACTATTTTACCATTACCAATTGTTCGGTCAACAATTATTCTTCGCATATGAAAACAACTATTCTTACGATTACCAATTGTTCGGTCAATGAAGGCTGAATGTTTCCCATATGGAAACAAGTATTCTTACCATTACCAATTGTTCGGTCAATGAAGGCCGAATGTTTCGCATATGAAAACAACTATTCTTACCATTACCAATTGTTCGGTCAATGAAGGCCGAATGTTTCCCATATGTTTCTTACCCCAATTGTTCGGTCAATAAAGGCCGAATGTTTCCCATATGGAAACGAATAATATCACCAATACTGTTTGGGCAATGAATACTGAATGTTTTCTATATAAGACAGGGGAAGTGTCAAGTTCCCACCAATGAGTTTTGCACTCTTTTTATAACGTTTTTATAGTTGTGATTAACTATCAGTTCCTTTTTTTTTTTTTTTTTTTAAAGAATATTGAATTCGTTCAAGAATATAAGAGAGAGAAGATGCGAGGATCTGCGAAAAGAACGCAGAAAACGCAGTTCCATAGAAAATGATTTTTTCTTTTTTTTTATTTGAAGGCCGGTTTGAAATTTTATTGGCAACTTAATTTTGACTTATCTTGCCGAACTTACTAAAGGTCAAAATCTATTAAAAGAATATGATCGGTTTTTATCGATCTGGAATGTTTATTTCGCAATATGGATGTGTGGATATATGGTTAGGTATTGTTGCAGCATCTTGTGTTAGTAATGATAATGTTCAATTTCCAAAATCATTTTTTTTTTGTCGGCGGGCGTGGAGGGGTCATCATGTAACAGGCTTGTTTGACGAAATGAATTGAACCATGTTGGATTCGAGGGTCATCATCTGAGGTGAGCTTTCTTATTGCTACTGTCGTACCCAGGCGGAACTCAAACGGAAAAAATAACTCGCCTTAATTTCGTCCACTTCTGGAATACCACCCCAAAATACCAGGGGTCATAAAATGTATTTTCTGACCAATCAGAAACAGGCCCTAGCAGTTTTCACAGCAGCTGTTTCTGAGCTTAATATCAATAAATTACGTATTGTAAAGTCTTTTGATACACCTAAATTACATAAGCGGACTACCGACCATATAAATATGGGTTGGTACAAGACAGGGAAGATAAATTAAGAAATTGAATCGTCTGCCCGACTGCGATTTAGTCAACCATTATGCAGGAACAGTCTTCCCAAGAATATACCAAACTAACTGAAATATTGTGTACCTCTTTGTTTCAGAATTGTTATTTTTGTGTTTTAAATTTTCAACATAAAGGTATATCATATATATTTCATATATATATATATATATATATATATATATATATATATATATATATATGTGTGTGTGTGTGTGTGTGTGTGTGTGTGTGTGTGTGTGTGTGTGTGCGCGTTATGGTAATTTAACCACGCACGCATGGACTATCCCAGCTATAAATAGGAGCAGGTACTGCCTTTTGTGAGAGGGAAGTTGCCAGCAGTCAGCTCTGACAGTCTAGCTGAACATACTTGCTGTAACACTCGTCTGTATATGTTTGTATTACTGTTTCTGTTAATATATTTGTTTAACTCTCTTGTGTCTTTATTTCTGGCCCTAACAAGGCCACAACAATAAGTTATATTTGGCCAGCAAACTTTCTTTTAAATATATCTTGTCGAATATAACAGAAGGAGAATATTGATGATGTGAAGGTATATACGGACAATTTGGCACCATGTTACAGAGTCCAAAAATTGTCCGTATTTTTCATTGCTCCAAACGCTTTCAGATATTTCTTTAGCCATTTTCAAGAGTGGTGTTAATTGTAGTCCGTTTAACATATAGTTTTTCTTCAATTTAATTAGAAATAGTATTTATTCCGAGCATCGCGGCCGAATCCCGAATTGGCGTTTTTTTTATTTAAAAAAAACAAAACAAAAAAACTTTTAGCATAACATTTCCGCTGCTGAACAAGGTGAGATTTATACTGGGTGCCAGATGTTTTATATAAAGGGTCTTTCTCACACCGAGATGTTTTCGCTAACAGAACCTATGGTGGCTAATGTTATCGACCAGATTGTTAATTATAGTTTTTTTGTAAATTCTGGGTAACTAAGTGACTTTTTGTAGCACTTTGATCAGATAAGTGACACGTCAGGTGTCTACTGATGG